ACTGGGTTGCTGTTTCCTTGGGCAAGTGAGAATGCTTTGAAGTAACCAGGATCCTTGGACTGTAGTCTCTAATTTTTCTTTTCCGCAGTGGCAGCTGCACTCTCCCTTAGATTTTTCTCACTGATTTTTGACTCCTGAAGGGTGCACCCATTCATCCAACTTGAGGGAGCCTTATAATTTATCATTCCAAGCTGGGACAACTTTGAGAATGAAAGACGGTGTTATTGATGATTTGGAGTACATCAGCACTGTTCCAGGAAAAAGTTGTATTCTTGCCCTGGCCTTTCCTTTAGCAGCCAACATAGAGCAAGCTTCCTTGGCCAAGGCCCCTATCTAGGGCCATTTATCTTAGAAGCGGTTAAGTAGATATGACAGCTACCCCGACGGCAGGTAAACACATGGCTTGAAATTCAGGGAGATCATGGTAAAGCTTTGAATTGGCACCTTCAGAAGTGTGTGGATTGGACTGATAGTTCCTTCAGGGATTCTCACTTTCTCCTCTGTATGATGGATGTAATGGTGGCTTTCTCACAGATAGCTTTAAAGATTAGATGACATATACAAAGCATTTGACTTGGGAGGCCTGAGTGAATTCCAGTTTCGTTTTCTTCATCTTTCCTTGATGAATCCTATGGAGTGTGTTGATCCATTTCTCATTTCTCTTCTTTCGTGGGAAGATGGCCTATGATCTGCTACTCAATATTCCTTATTAAACTAGATATCACATTTTGTCTCCCCAATTCTTTCTGAGGTACCCAGTGAAAGGGCTGAAATTCTATATATCAGGTGGAATTTGGTGTCTGAGTCAGAAAGAGAGATTTAGCTTATGATTCAAATATGCAGGACAATGAGGAACATTCAGAAGGTGATGCTTCTAAATGATAAGAATTAAAAAGAATAATCCTGAGATGCAGCATACTGAAATGGTGGAGGAGAGGAGAGGGCTAATGGTATTACAATGACACTTTTCAGTTCTGGGCCACTGGTTTTAACTCCGCACTGAAAGCTGAGAGAAGAGCATGCCCAGAGATGACTGTAATAGCATGGAAAAAGCATGTTCTCAGGGGCCTGGGTTCTAATCTTTGCCTTCTGCTTCATCAGCTATGTCCTTCAGTCAATCTCTCACTCTCCCAAATTCAAATTCCCACCTGTTACATGGGCACAACGATGCTTACATCTGCCGTGAGAATGATGTGAGATACTAAATAAAATGAAATCTACCATACCTGGTGCAGTGTGACTGTCAAATACAAAGTGAAATGGGTTGATGTGTTTTTTTTTTTTTTATTTTTTTAGGAATCTGAGTTGAATCTAGAAATCTGTATACACATTCACCTCTTGCTTTGATTTCAACTAGATTTTTCTGAAGACGTTAATGAAAGTTTCTTATTTTTAAAGCTTTGAATTCTAGAAATCTAGATATATAAAACAGTGATGATATCTGATTACAAATCATCAAGACCCTCATGAAGACAATTGGGATCACTGGAACCCTAGGTTTGTGAAACCATAACACTTCCTACAAAACTGGGATGCTTGCTTGAATGTCAGTTGCATTGGCTCACAATGGTCCTCATGTATCTTGTTGAATATTTTTAGAGTCCAGTGAACCTTGGCATGCTTTGAAGGACTGTTCTAATACCTTTTTGTGGATTTGGAAAAAATGTTTACATTATAATATTAAATGAGAAACCAAGCTATAAAATTTCATGTACTGTAAAATCACAATTATGTTAAAATGTACTTAAAAGACTGGTAGGAAATATATAAAAAATTAACATATCAATTAAAAGCAGTAATCTTGCAGAAGAAAGACACAGGGACAGCTTTTATATTTATTTTATTTTACCCGCATTTTCCATTTTTTCTACGATGAACATGTATTTCCTTTAGAATCCACACGTTTTACTTTTCTCCTTTCTCTTGGTTCAACAATCTCAGGAGGATCTTTTCCTTTCCAGCTGCAATGTCAGGTTCACCTGGATGAAGTATGCCTTTCACTGCATCCTGGGAAGATGGAAGAACTAGAAAAAGCCTTCAGCAGCCCTAGCGGAGTTTTCAGGGCAGTAAAAGCAAAGGTTATAAACCAAAGACAAACACACAGAGTTGTAAGATGGTCAGGCAAAAATGGGGGTGAGGGACATTGAATATCTAAAGGGAAAAAATAAGAACATACTCTTTTTTATGAAAAAAAGTTCATGGCAAAAAGCAAAACAAAACAGAAAACAAAAATAAAACTGTAGTATCTGTGGGAGCTTACATAGCTGAGGAGGGAGCAGGGATAGTGCCCACTCAGATGGGTGCTGGGGCACTTACATCCTGAGCCCACCTTCCAAAGGTCGGGAGGGAGCCAGGGATAGTGTGGACTCAGATCCATGACAGGGGCACTTATTTCCTGAGCCCATATTCCTGCCTACAAGCTAAACCACCTCCGAGTCACCCTAGATTTACTTATGCGAGAACAACACTTAGGATCTGTTTATACATGGTCTCCACAAACCTATGTCATGAACTTGAATCAATGAAACATAGCAAGGAGCAAAGTGCAAGAGGACACATTCTCCAAGAATAGCGGTAGTTGCCTGGTAGGGAGAGGGATGAGCAAAGTTTTGTAAGGCTCATGCCTTCAGTGGACTTTGAAAGTCGACTGTCTGGAGCTGTCTTGGCCCCAGGTTTATGCTTGTGTGATTTGAAAGTGTTTCTTAACTTCTCTGTGCTTTAGTATTTATAAAACGAGGAAAATAAGGACAGCATTTAGTGGTTTTGAGGAATAATTGAGACACTATATTTAAAAGACTTAGCAAAAATTCTTTATAAATGGTGACACCTGTAGATATCCAGGGTTTTCTGTATTATAGTTGTTATGGTCTGAAGTCTGAACATTGTGCCCATGCTTCCCTTCCCAAATTCATGTGTTGAAACCTACTCACCAATAAATGAAGAGGCAGGGTCTTTTGGAGGTGATTAGGCTATGATGGCTGTGCCCTTATGAAAAGGATTAGTGCCATTATAAAAGATTCCCTATGGGGTTGCCTTGCCCCTTCCACTATGTGAGGGCACCGGGTGAGAAGTCACTATTCTGTGAACCAGGAAGTGGGTCCTCACCAGGTGCCAAACCTGCCAGCATCTTCATCTTGGCAGGGAGCCTGTCTGTGCCTTTATCTTCCTCCGTATGATGACACATAGGAGGAGCCTTCTATGAGGAATGAGTTCGCATTAGATGTCGTAGCTGCTGGTTCCTTGTTCTTGGTCTTGTAAGTCTCCAGAACTGTGAGCAATAAATTTCTATTGTTTCTGAATTACACAGTCTAAGGTATTTCGTTATTAGCAATCTGAATGAACTAAGACACTAGCCTATGTGAATTCCACCCTGATTTCTGGACTAAAATTTATGTGATGTTGGCCACTGTCAGCCAGATAAAGATTATATTCAGGCAACAGTGAACTGACTTGAGTACAATTATCAGGGAGTTGAAATTATCCTGGGTATTCTATGAAGTTTCTTTAATTTGGAACTTGTGTTAGATTTTGCTATAATGATTCTGCATAGCAGAAAGCCCCTAAATAGTAATAAAAATTTATTTCTCACTCACAGGCTCATGAGTAAGCTGTGACTGCAGTGCTTTGCAGGGCTCAGCTGGACTTAGCTTTAGGTTGTAGGTTGGCTTCAGATCTGCTACACAGGGTTCTCATTCTGAGACTCAGGTTGAAGGCTATTCAAACCATAGCATCCTCACAGTGCATGAGACATTCCTGAGACTGTTGGAAACTTCTATGACTCTTAAAGCCTTAGCTTGAAGTGAGCTGTCACTTCCATGGAGGTGCTATTGGCCAAAGCAAATTGTGAGGCCATGCCTGGTATTGGTGGAAAGGGCACTCTGCTCACAGGACAGTCACTGCAGTGGTAAAAAAGGAAGGGGGAATTGTGAACGAATAGTAGATGCTATCTATCTACCTCAGAGCTCCATAAAGATAATGAAAGCAGTGGTTGAAAAGGACTAAACTCATTCCATGGGGAAGCCTAAAAGCAATTTAGCAAACAATAAACAGCAATTTCATTGTGCTTATGTATTATAAGTTCCAGATCCTCACCCCATGAAAATATAATCAGACAAAACCCACCAGTTATACCTAAAGATGCCTTTGCAAACACATCCATGGGATTATTGTCCAAATCCCCTACACAGCACCAACCACGGCCCCCTTCCAGTTTTACTTACCAAACCTCTGTCCCCAGAGCTTTGGAGAAACCATAAGCCAGAAGAGACAAGGCCTAGCTCAGTCCTCAGCTCCCTCTTAAGCCTTGAGTCAGAGTTGATTTGTCTCTGACAATGAATTTGTAGTCTCTGTGATTGTTTTACGTTTAGAGCTTTTACCGACTGGACACCCTTTATCTGTTCCTTTCTGTTCTTTTGGCTATGGTACACATGTATATGAAAGTACTTCAAAAGTTCACAGGAAAATGAAATTAAAAGATAAGGTTATTTTGACCCCCAAAATTTGAAATCCACTGATTGCTTGAAAAATTTTTAATTAACTTATTTGAGAGGCAGAGAGGAAAAAGAAGGGGTGAGTAGACAGACAGAGCTTCCATTTGTTGCAATACCAAAACCAGCAGTGGCCCTGATTGGAAACAAAGCTGAAAACAGAGAACTCAGTCCAGATCTCTCACACTGGTGGAATGAGTCCAGCTACTTAAGCCATCACCACTGCCTCTCAGAACTGCATTAGAAGAAAGTTGGAGTCCAGAGCCAGAGCCAGGCACCAAATCCAAGCACTCCCATGTGGGATGCCAATCATCTTAATTGGCATATTAACTGCTCAACTAAACATTAGCCACCATGTGCTATTGTTTCACAGTGTACATTTTCTAGTAAAATTTTTTTCTGAATCGTATTTATTCAATCTACTTTAAATTTAAAGACGGAGGGAGGGAGAGAGATAGGATAAGTGAAAGAGGGAGGGAGGGAGGGAGGGAGGGAAGGAGGGAGAGAGAAAGAGTTTCTTATGCACTGCTTCATTCCTTATATAACTGCAACAGCCAAGAGTGGCTCAGGCCACAGAGGAACCTGAAACTCAATCTGTTTCACCCACATGGGTGGCAGGGATCCCACTACTTTAGCCATCATCTGCTGCCTTCCAAGGTTGCACTGTAGCAGGAATCTAGAACCAGGAGCAGAGTCAGGACTCAAACCTCTGCACTCTGATATGGGACACAGGCATCCCAATGGGGTCTTCTGTACCAAATGTCTGCTCCTCCATGAATTTTTGAAGTATACTGTACATGGGCAGGGGTCTCAGATGGATAATTTACTTTCAAATATTTGAGAAATAAACAATCAGATGTATGAGTGTTTGACTTTCTGCAAATTACCTCTTGTAGAAGCCCCTGGACTACAGGTGGAAGGCAAATGAATTCCGGCCAGTCCTTTCTAGATGATTGCCCCACACTTTGAAGTCATTGAACTATGATGGCTTCCATGTCCTGCTAACACCTGTCAGTCTTCCCCTATCTGTCCCACTGTTAACAGTTAAAACTAATTTCATTTCCCTATATTTATATTATTATTTACCATCTAAATGAATAGATTGATATCCCTTGGATCATTAACATTCTCTGTCAGGCCCCTTGGGGAACATTTCTTTTTCTGACAACACCACTTGCTAAGTTTTCTCCTCTGAGCTGTAAGGGCATATGTTCCACCTGGAGGAGGATTTCATTCCCTGTTTTTAAAACCTGCCCCTCCCAGGCGTTCCTTGGAGAGATGGTCCCCTCCGCCACTTTGAGGTTCAGGGGCAGTCTCAGGCTACTCCCTTGAGGCCATCAGAAGATGCTGTGACTCATGGATTATTGTATGCTCAAGTCAGCTTGTGGGAGTCATATTTGTTGTATGCAAGCAACAAAGGTGAATTATTGAACTAACAGCTTCCTCAGGTACGGGCTGTGCAGTGTGATCAATTATGTATAATGTTCACTCAGGCAAGAAATGAAATGAAGTGACTATAAGCTGGAGTGCTCCAAGGCTGCTGGAACTATTTCCCCTTCAAACATGGGAGAGCACGTTGGCCACTTTGTAGTGCCTTGCACTTGCTCATGTGGCTGTACGGATGAGAGGGACACCTGACTTGTCAGGGGAAGGTGATATACTCACCTCTGTTTTGATTTGATGTGGTGCTGTCTCTCCAAGTCCTGTGGTAAACTTTGTCTGATTTTTCTTGTCCCTCATAAATAATGCATGGCAAGTAGCAATAATAGCAATAATAATAACTACCACTATTGACTGTGTTAGGTGTATAACTCTGGGTGTGAGTATGGCATTAAATCCTCATAATGAGTCTATGAGGTAGGCACTATCATAAACCCATTATCCAGTGGATGAAATAGGGCCTCAGAAAGGTTGTATGGCTGGGAATGGGGAAAGTCCAGGCTGCCTGGCCCTGAAGCTTCATGCTATTAACCACATCATACTGCTTTTGGGCACGTTAGACATTTTAATTATTGTTGGTTGAGTGAATAAATGGATGCACGAATAAATGTGAGAGTCAATGGCCTCTCAGGGGAGATATGAAAGCCAAATGCCCTCTCTAAAAATGGAAGTGGGGTTTGTATCCTGTTTAAATCCTGAAGAGAGAGGGAGGCAGCTGCTCCTTGGTCACTGACCATCTGCTCTCTGAAGATGTACTGGTTTAGACTCAGCTCTGGCGCAAGACCATCCTGTTCACCAATGTGTCCCAGCATAAATCAGGAGTTGAAAATATTTGAATGAACATGATGATGCTTATCAAAGCAGCTACTGGTTTCTGGAACAAAAAGCTGAATAAACACATTTGCGCCAGTGATTGGAAAGAGAGCAAAACAATGGGAGATGAGGAGACGAAAGGGGAACGGCAGGAGGAATCTGAAAATGATGCTTGCACAGAGCTTCTGGGAGCAAAGGCACTGAGCTCTGGGTCCCTTACTTTATCTACCTCCCCCCAGCTCTGGCCCACGAAGGACAAATGCCATCAACTTGCTCCTTGGACATTCAGGAAAGTCTACTGTCAGGCCGTAAGTGATGTTTGGCTCATTTATCTCCTTTTTTCCTTTCCTTGCATTTTTCTTTTTAATTTAAAAAATGTCCTAGTGTATAAACCCATTCAAAAGCTGTAAATACGTAATTTCCATACTCAGAGATATATTTGGAACGCTGGGTAATGCCATGTGACAAAAAATATGGCCCATTTGAGAGTTTTTTTTTTTTTTAAGAAAATTTCCTTTCTTTCTTTATATTGGGGTGGAGACTGATGGTAACATGTCAGTGGGCTTTTTGCAGAGTCCATGTCTCATGAAAAGATGTGGGTTTTTGATTTTTAACATACTAAACAAAACACACGTGGAGCATATCTGCTGTCAATTTCACATGGTTTTTCTATTGAACAAGGGTTCACAAGTTTGGTAGAGCATCTTGGGAGTTTGGTTGACCACAGAGTATCTGAAATATGTTTTTAGCTGTTTTGCCCAACCTGCTTTGTCATAGTTAATTACTAGTCATTAATCTTCTTGTCTTTGGAGTGAGAAGAAGAGTAGGTGTCACAAGTACTTTGACCTTAAGAAGTCTAGAGTTTTCATAATTGTCATTTTTGGCTGCTGTTGTGAATTTTTCCTTGGCAACAAATTTGGAGTAGGATGTGTATAGCTTTACTAAGATTTGATGCTTGTATCTCTTTCATGTTTACTTTCTGAATGCTATTCATGATAGTCATTCAAATATTTCGGTCATGTTCACTTAGTTCTCACTTTTACAAACTGAGTATCAAGTGCCTATTTTGTGGGAGTGTTGTAGTAGGTGGCTAGCTAGTCTGATGTACACTTCGTGGTCAGTTCATGTTTCCCTGCTGTCTCAGATATGCCAAGCCAGCTCAGGCCTGGGCTCGTGTGCACAGTGTGCTCCTAGACAGGAAAGGCCAAACCACAGGAGGGAAAGTAAGGATGTCCATGCACTCTGTATGCACTAGGCACTCAATAAATGCCTATTAAGCAATCAAGTGACTACAGTAGTGAGCGGGATTCATGAAAAAACAATTAAAGGAAACAGTCACACTGTTTATACATCAGACATAATTATGTCCCTCAGTCCCATATCCTGGGGTTTTTCTGTTGATGTGCTAGTAGCAATGGTATCTTGCACCAGTAGTGGACAGAATTGGCTATGAATCCTGCCTCCACTATATTTAACTGTGGACTCTGACAAGTAATTAATCTCTCTGAGTCAGGGTACTCACAAAACAGGTAGTGCTCCATAGCACTGTGTGAAAATTCAACAAGCTTACTCAGAACACAGTTCTCCCCCCAACCTTGGAAGGCCTCTACTAGATGCCTAATAAATGTTAGTTGCCTTCTTCCTCCTCTCCTCTTCCTCTCTTCCTTTTCCCCCTCTTCCGGCATCCTCACAAGTAAATTAGGAATAAGTGTTGTACCCTTATCTGTGGAACTATCATTGAAACTAACTGTAAAATCCCGAGACTTGTGCCTTCTCGCACACATCAAGTGCTGCATTTAGCTGATGTTAACTTTATCTCACACAGCATGTTGGTGGTACAGACAGGGCAGGGCAAGTCTATATAAACATCTTTTCCTGATTTGGATCCAGGAAAGAAATACAAATAAAAGGAAATAAATAGCTTATGTAACTTAGCTGCTTTTTTCTTTTAGGCCATTTGGTTTTTTGGTTGTCTTTCTGAGGCATTTCAAACTTGGTCAGCTTAACTTGGAAATATTTAAATAAAAGCATTTTCCATCTTGTCCTGGCCAGGCTATCTCTTCTAGGACTGGTCCAAGATGCTACTGATATCCCCAGGCCAGAGAAGCAATTCATTGATTTAAACATGTTGTTTAAAACTCTGATACAAAGACACAAATGAAGAAAAGATGCCTGGAGTCCACAAGCCGTGGCCTGAACGAATTCCATGCGCATGACCTGAACATTTGAACCCTTGTTGTGTAGGATTTTTCGTACATGTTTCATGGTGTGGCTTCACCTGCAGGTGCTTCAACATGGCGACATCATTGTTACCGTCACGTGGGTGAAATGCAAAGTGAGGATTGAACTGGAGTTCCTGGTTGCATTTTTTTCCAGGTTGTATGATCTTGGACAAGTAAGTTAGGCTCACCTTCCTTTCCTAAAAATTTTCTCAAAAATGCCTACCTCAAGGTTCTTTCTGATGGTTAAATGAAACCAATAGAGGAAATTACACAGAAAATTGTGAGGTTTCTTTAAAATACAGGGGCTATTTTTGTAGGGATTAGTGTTGTAGTGGAGAAGCAGCTTGAAGCACCATTTGTCTTATGGATTATTTAGCCTTCTCCTTGCTTCTGTTTTGGCCCCTTCTCTGGCTTGCTCCCTGCTTGGATGCTCCCACAGCTGCCCACCTGTTTCTCTAAGGCAGCTCCCTGCTTCTTGTCCCATCTGCCCTCGAAACTCATTGGGTGGGTCTGGTACTGAGCAGCAGCTAAGATTAGAGATGATTGGGAGACTGGGACATCTGCTGCCTCTTTTGGAAGCGACTAAATGAATAATAAAAGGATGGGAAATGTTTGCCTTGACATGGGCAGAGCTGAGCTAGGACAGGAGAAGGTGTCAAGGGTAGGGTCCTAAGAAATGTACGGAGGTCTTAAGTAGATACTGTGAAAGGAGAGCATGTGGGAAGGAAAAACATTTTTAGATGGATGCTAAGAAAGTCTAAACTTCCCTTTTATTCCTGCTCCAGCCTCAGTACAAGTCATCTGGTACCCTGATTTTGTATATTAATTCACTTCTTTCTTTTTTTTTTTTAATAAATGGCATATTTACTGAGATGTAGTTCACATATATAATTCATCCATTTATATGGAATATTACAATAGTTTTTAGTTCAGAGTTGTCCAATTATCACCACAATCAATTTTCATATATTCATTCTTTTTTATTTTAAAGTTTCATGATTCTTAAATATGTATTTTAAGGGCAGAAAAAGAGAGATGGAGAGGGAGAGGGAAAGGCAGGGGGAGGGGAGAGAGAGAGAACTTTCCATTGGTTGGTCCACTCCCCAGATAAAATGCACTGGAGATGGGCAAGGCAGACAGGATCCTGGAACTCCATCCAGGTCTCCTCTATGGGTGGCAAAAACTCAAGCATCTGTACCATCATCTCTGCTTCCCAAAGTAAAAGTTAGCAGTGGATCAGAAGCAGAGAGCTGGGACTTGAACCAGGCACTCATATATGGAATGTAGATGTCCCAAGCAGTGGCTTTACCTGCTGTGCCACAGTACCTGCCCATCACTACCTTTAAAAATTAATTAATTTTAATTAACTAGAAAAGCATAGAGATGGAGAAGGGCGAAGTCAGACAGAGAAAGATCTTCCATCCAATGGTTTACTCCCCAAATACCTATAACAGCCAGGGGTGGGCCAGGTTGAAGCCAGGAGCTTGGAACTCAACTAGGGCTTCCTACATGGGTGGCCAGGATCTAAGGACTTGAACCATCATCTCCATTTCCCAGAATGTACATTACCAGGAAGCTAGAACTGGAAGTAGTGCCAGGACTCAAACCTAGGTACACTGATATGGGATGCTGTCATCCCAAAGAGCTGGTGAAACTGCTGCACCAGATGGCCACTCCTATGTTAACCTTTTGTCTGATGTTGTATTGTGGACCTTTCTCTCTGTAAAGACTTGTAGAGCCCTTATGGTATTATCCAATATGGTGAGACAGGAAGTCATTTTAGAGACCTATGTGACTGTGTGTGTGTGTGGAAGTGACACAAGCATAACTTAGGAATACAAGTATTGATCGTAGCACTAAACTATGCATATCTGTACCCTGCATATCACACCACTTTAAGATTAACATCTGACTCCATCCTCTCAATCTCATCTCCCTCCACCACTCCAGTGCAAGACAACACTGCCTCACCAGCACCAGGCCAGTCACTTCCCAGTTGTGCATCCTCCTACTGTTTGTCTCCTCCTGTAGTCTCCCTTTAACCAGAACATTTTAAAATTTAAATCATCACTTCTCGGCCTTTTGGCTAAGATCGAGTGTAAAATTTAAATCATGCTGCTTTCCTGCTCAAATCCTCCAATGACTTGGAGTAAATATTCAAACTCTTTTTAAAAAAACTTTTTATTTGAGAAGCGTAGAGACCCAGAGAGAGACAGAGATAGAGTGAGCAAGAGAGCAGAAGAACATGAGCGAGAGAAAGAGAGAGATCTCATCTACTGGTTCATTCCCCAAATACTTGCAATGGCTGGAGCTAGGCCAGGCAGAAGGCAGGAGCTGGTAACTAAATTCATGTAGGTGGTTCAGTTACTTAAGCTATCATCACTACCTCACAAGGTTCACAATAGCAGGAATCTGGAGTCAGGAGTGGCATCCTGGAATTTAAACTAGGCACTCCAAATGTGGGATGAGGGCATCTTAACTGCTAGGCAAAACTGCCTGTCCTCAGATCCAAGAATGCAGATTTCGAAGTCTACATTGTCAGATTTAGTGGCCACTGAGCACTTGAAATGGTGCTGTCCAAATTGAGGAGTACTGAAAGATTTAGAGGGCTTTTTATTAAAAAAAGAATGGAAAATATCTCATAAATATATAATGAAAGCATGTTGAAATGATATTTTGGATATGTTGATTTAAGTAAAATTTATTTTGAAAGTTGGTTTCATATATGTTATGAAACACATACACACGTCCACGCATGGTTCCAGTTTCACTGGAGAATGCTGATCTAAAGGATCTGATTGCTGGCCAACTGCAGCCTGCTCTCTGCCTTCTTCCTGCTTGCCACCCAGACTCAGTCACACAGCCCTCCTTCCTTTTCCAAGAGCAGGAAGTGTTCATTCCTACCTCATGACATTGTCTCTCATTGGTTACTCTGCTTCCCCTAACTCATCGTGGCCTCTTCTCTCAGGTGCATGTCACCTGCTCTGTGATTTCTGCCTTAAACATCTTATCAAAATGGCTATATTGTCATTTTTTATTTCCATAGCTTCCATTTATTGTCTGCATAGCACTTACCATAGGCTAATAACTTCCTTCCTTTCCTTCTTCCAGACCTTTCTTATTTTCTCATCTCCCCACTATAAAGTCTATACAAGCAGGCACTTTGTCTTGTTCATTGTTGTATCCTGGTGACTAGAATAGATCCTGGCATACAGAAAGCAGTAAAACAAAATGTATTGAATGAATAAACATGCTTTTGGAGTCATGAATACTATCAAAACAAAATGGCCAGAAAATTATTTACTGAACATTTTTATATGCCAGACATTGTCATAATAACTACATAGATACTATCTCATTAGCATATATACTGCTGACATACCTCATGTATTTAAATGTGTTGAGATATAATATCTCTATAATATCTATATCTGTATACTACCTCATCTGTGGACTGTAACCATGGCTCATGGATTAAATCTTGTCTGCTATGTGTTGTAAATAAACATTTATTGAACATAACCATACCTATTGGTTTATAGATTTTCCATACTTTTGCACCACAATGCAAAGTAGAGTAGTTGCGGGAGAGAGTCTACAGTCCAATATTTACTATCTGGGCTTTTACGTAGAAAGTTTATTGAGCCCTGGGATAGACAAGGGTGACTTGAAAGGACTCTCCAACAAGTCTATCATTCTTTAAAGTAAACATAAAATCAAAGTAAATGTATTAGGGTGCAAAGAAAGCTTCAGGACAACTCCCTTAGTCTCCCATGAGACTACACCATGCCTTCCGATCTATCAGGACAGAACAGAGCTTCATGGGCAAAAACCATGCCGACTCTGTGAGGGAGGTATCGTTGTGTTCATTTGATTTATCTTTAACACAGAGTCCAGCTAGGTAAGGCATAGAGCTGGGAAGGAAGTCTAGGCCTGTCTCGTCATTTAGCCACCAGATTTGGGAATTACAGACAGAATACTCTTCACATCTCCTGCCTGCACATTTCAAAATAATCACCCTAACTTCTTCAGCTGTCTTTAATGTGTCTTCGGTTTTGCTTCAGTATTTGTAATTAATGTCAGGTCCTGGGAGGATGACTATTGAATGCATCTGGCTCCTGTCCAAGCTATTTAAGAGTCTGATTTTTGGCTTAGTTATAATATGAAGTACATGAAAGTGATGCTTAAAATTGCTACTGAACTTCTGTGGCATGTACTCTGCTCTTTGTATATTGTTTTTAAAAATTATTTATATACAAAGTTTTCCATGGTTGACCAAGTTTGCTTTGATCTCAGCTCATTTTATTAATGTCTGTCTTTTATTCTTTATAGGCTCATTTTCCTCTCATTATAAAAATTAATCCAAAAGTACCTTGAATTGACAGAGTTGTCAAGTTAGGCATAATGTGGCTTAATAGAATTATTCAAAACAGCGAAAAAAAAGAAATCTCTGTAATTAGTTTGTTCCCTCCACATTCTGCCTCCTCTTCACAGCGTGTGACCCTCATTCTTGGCCCATCATCACTCATTGCCTCATCGTGACCCAAATCCAGCTTCTGATGTGGCTGTCCTAGTGATTCCAGTGCTGTACACAGCATCCTTTCAGTTTGGCATCCCAGCCACTGACCCACCCAGCTTTCTGAACCTGTCACTGGGCCTTTAGATGTTTCTGATAAGCTAACCTTAACTAACCAGGGTCCCTGTTCCTGTCTCTGATCAGTCTAGAATTGCAGGTTATGGTGTGACCTTATGTACAATGTAGGCCCTTCCTGATGAACAAAACAAGGAGAAAGAGAAGACAGATTCTGGACAGAGTCAGCTCCTGCTCATGTGACTCATCCTATTGGTTTCTCACATGGGAGAAGTTCACACAAGTGTTTGCTGGTTGGATGGATATGTCAGGGGATGAAGGGAGCAAAGTGAAGTATATGTTTGGTTCACCTGGTCTTCATTAGCTGTTGGATGGGAGGACTGAGTGGATATGTTGGTGGTTGTTTTAGTGTGCTGTTGTATAATTCTCTGCAGCCAATTCTGAAAAGCATGAAATATCATCTGTTTGGTCTTCCATGACAGAGCACATTAGCCAGTGTTGTTTATTCCATGACACTCAAGCTATGAGCTGTCAAAACCAATCTGCCCATTTAATTGATTCTGGCTTATTTCCGAAAAGTGA